GCAGGGCGTTTTTGGACTTTTTGTGATGGAAAACCCACAGCACAATAATCACAATCAATATACCGAATAGTATGCCTCCCGCCTTGATTCCAATATTCAGATAGTAGTCCATATTATCCAAGGACGGAATGGGTTCTGCCTCTGTTGCCGGTGTGATTATATCAAAGTATTTGCTATAAGCCATCAGTACGTTGTCCCTGTCTCGAACTGTTAATGAAAATATAGTTTTGTTTAGTACCAGTAAGGACTTGGGTCTGCTAGTTGTTCCCTTTCATAGCTTACCAATTATCTCCAAGAAACCAGTGTAGTTAGAGTTAATATCTATCTGGCCATCGTAGACATCTCGACTGGTGTCCAGGAGCGGCACAGTTGGATTAACGGAGCTGCTAAGAACTGGACTCTCCTCGCTGGTCACTGCATTTCTCCTAGCTCTCAATTTGTTCTCTAAAATCTTGAGAGCATGCTCTGTTAAATTGGCGCCCTTGATAAGGTTGTTATCTCTATCTCCGGCCTCCAAGTCCGAATCTAAGTGTGGTAATAGTTAAATTAGTTGAAGACATGTTTGGAAATGAACATAAAATACTACTTACTTGAAAGGGAGCTCAGTGGTGGTGGCCTATGTACTGTCTCGGGTTTTCTTAGAAACGTTGTACCCGCCAAACATCTGCGGCAAATGTCATCGTTTTCCCGGATTATCTCATTGTTCTCGGAGAACCTTACCTCGTCGCCCAGAAAGACTTCCGGTCGGAAGTACTTGCTACTCATCATTTCCGCTATGTAGGCGCTGCTTCTGGTCACGTTATCGCTGTGCACTTGCTGATATGTGGCCACATTCAGCTTCTCTGGCTCCGGCAACTCGTTGTTGTTGGCATTGTTAATTCGAACCAAATACAGTCTGTAGCAGCATATCGGCCCGTTTCTTTCGCTGATCTTGGGCAGATAGGACTTCAGTATGTACTTGGAGCCCAGGTTAACCTTTGTCCACATTGTGCGGCCAATGGTGTCCGGCGTGGAGACGGGCATCCGGCAACTACCGGCCGCCGGTTCGCCGTTCTTCTTGTGTCGCGTTATGGCCGACACTGTGACTGTGTAGTTGGTATTGGGGCTAACGCTTTCGTATAGTGTCTTGTGATGCGGCTCGTCGATCCGTCGGATCTTGGGACCCCACATCTCGCGGTCCACCGTGCTCATGGGATTGCCCTGAAGGTGAATAAGGTAGGAAACGACCTTTCCGTTCGGCGTTTTGGGCACATCCCAGTTAATGGAGATGGAGTTGCTCCTCGTCACGTTGTCGTGATGGCAGTGGATCGTCAAATTCGTTGGCTTTGTGGCCACACCGTCCATGGTGGTGCCATTGACAATCTCCGACCAGGGGCCGCAGGTTTTCGTTAGGTCACTGCATGCCCTCACCTTAAATTCGTAGTCCGTGGCGGTCTTCAGCTTGTCAAACATATATGGCAAGTTTCGGGAGTTCTGCTGGTAAATAGCCTCTTCAATCGTCTTGTTCGATTCGGAGACAACCAGTTCGTAGTATTGAATGTACTCGATTAGGTCCGGCGGCGGCGGATCCCAGCCAATAGTAATCGTAGACGCAGTGCTGCCGGTGGTCTCGACTTTCGGTATAAAAATTGGATCAAAGCTGAGCGTATTGACCCCCAGTGGATACTGTGTGGTCTGGCCGTTGCCGATTGAGTTCTTTCCCGAAATTCTTAGGAAGTAAGTGGTGTTTGGTTTGAAGTTATCCAAAATATACGAGGTTTGGTTGCCATTAATGATGTCCTTATAGTACAGAAAGGTCGGTGTACCAGCCTCCTGGAATGTGATGAAGAACTTCTGCACAGGATCGTTGCCATCGTTGACAGTCCAGTTCAGATATATCTTATTGGAACCCACAGCCTTAGCGAAATCGATGCTAACTTGCGGTTCTTCCATCACATAAAGCGTAATCTCTTTGAAGGCCGCCTCTAGGCCGGTGTCGTCGAAGACGGTGCACTTGTACGTTCCGTTCTCCTTCTTGTAGACCTCGGTAAACTCCAAAGTAAAGTTTAAATGCGTGTCGTTCAGCTTGGCGATGGAGGAGAAGGTGTCCAGGAACTCGAAGGGGCTGCCGTCCTTGAGCCATTTCATATTCTTACTCGTCGTCTCATTTTGCGGATACATTTCTATCAGACAATGCAACACCACATCCTGGCCGACCTTGCGCTTTATCCTGTCGGCGGTACTTTGCAAAACCTTGGCGGGAAGGTATGGTTCTACGTGAAATTCAGTCGAATGGTTCTGCCCCGAAGGGGATGTGCATGTGTACTTTCCAGAGTCCTTAATATTAATATGGCGGAGCGTCAGAACATTTTTATACTTGATAAAGTCGGGACTTTCGTTGGTTTCGCTAACACCTTCATTGGGATTTAGGGGATCAGTCCTTAGTTCGAATCTGGAAGGAAGTAGTTTTTATAAATTGCTGTTTTACGAAGGGATTTTATATTATTTATTACCTTGTGGTGTTTTTATCAATAGTCTGGTTTCCTAATGTCCATACTGCTGCTTCGTTTTCAGAGGCACATTCTAAGGATAGGTTTTTTCCTATCTCAACCCACTCTGTAAAAATAAATCAATTAAATATTGTTTAATGATTTTTAAATTGAATCAAATGGGAAGTATGCAAAAATGTGTTTTTATATATATTTTTAAGGATACTTTGGATACCCATTTAAATTGTTTTTAAAAGCACAGAAATTCTGTATAGATTAGTTTCTATTTTTACTTTTACATTTAGTAGTAGTAGTTCCCCCCACTATTTTAGTGAATAAAAATTGTATTAAAACTTCCCATTGCTAATCCATTTCCCCCTTTTATGAGGGGGTTTTTGGGCGGTCAAAGAATTTTTATTAGCCAGACGACCCAATCGAGTGCTCAACCCCCACCCACAGCGGGCTTAAAAATCCATTATCGTTATTTTGGAATCAACACGTATTTACTCCATTGTACAATAAGTTTTCGAAATAACTGTTTCAGATAAACGAGAGTGCAAGTACTGGGCTACATACATCCGACATACATAGCTACGTCTGTATGTATGTGCATCGGGAAGTGTGTACATATGCTCGACTACTTTGTTTAGTCCCCCAATTGAAATCTCACCCCATTGCCCCGTAATCTTTGGGCGTTACCGACATAGTTCAAGTGCCGCTGTATCTACAGAGCTGCCTCTCGATAAGTTTTACTCCCGGCTATTAATTAAACTTGCCTGGGATATTCGTAAAACATTCATTCACAATTGCAAAAACAAAAGAAAACACCGCAATTTGTTGACACCCACAACCCGTTATTGCTGTATGTGCGTATGTATGTGTGTATGTTCATATGTGTAATGTACTTTTCTTCGCCTTAGCTTAGCCGCAAAATTATCGAGACTTTACCTCGTTTCACAGATCCCTGCACACATATCGTGCCAAGGAAGATATATGCAAGGATTATAATTAATAGCGTCGACATGCGTCGGCAGAGTAACGCCATGGCTTGCTAATTCTCACTCCAAACCGGATAAATACATATGTCAAAAATTATATTCGTTGTTTGCGTTGGTAAAAAACGTGTTTCTCTGTGTAGTACGTGTCGCGGCGACTAAAAAAACACCGTAAAATGTGTTTTTAAAAAAAACATTTAGTAGACGGCGGCCGCGAACAAGTATTCAATAATCGTTATTTTCTTAATATATTTTTTTTTGCGGCGGCGTTATCGATAAACTAGTCGAATATGTATAGTTTGCGCAAATGAGTTATTGGGAACAGTGGAAACGGAATTCTAATCGAAATAGTCTGAAATCCATTGTGCTGCTATCTTGGCATATAGTAACTGAGGTGGTTTGAGTATCAAATGTGGTTCGAATATCAGGTGTGGTTCGAATTTCGTGTGGATTTTTTAGGGGGAAACTTCAACTTTTTGATATTTTTTAGGAGTAAAGCCAATTTTTTCATCTGGCAACACTGAGTTTAACCAAAAAAGAATAAAAAAGTAAACTAGCCGGCATTGTTTGTGCGCGTTTTTTTGCAGAAAACTATTGGAAAACACATAAAAACCATGAAATTGGTCAGGTAAGCTTAATCGCAATCCATTATATCATTGATAATCCTGTCAGAAACTGTCGCAAATGCCGGTTTCCATCAATTTTAGCGGGCTGTGCAAAATGTACACATGTACGCCTGCAAAACGCGATGCTATGCAATTTTGTTGTATTTGTACACAACACTCAATGGATAAAATATAAAGGTTTCATAATAATAGCATACTTTCTTGTAAATAACAAGTGTGCATGGGTAGAGCCAAAGTATCTCAATCATTTAAACACATTTTTACATTTGTTAAAATAGCAAAAGCTTTTTTGTCCTTTTAGATTCCTTATGAAGTTAAGTCATGAGACTGTGACTATTGAGCTGAAGAATGGCACCCAAATACACGGCACCATTACCGGCGTGGATGTGGCCATGAACACCCACCTGAAGAGCGTCCGGATGACCATCAAGAACCGCGATCCCGTCCACTTGGAGACGCTGAGCATTCGCGGCAATAACATTAGATACTTTATACTGCCGGACAGCTTGCCGCTGGAGACGCTGCTGATCGACGACACTCCCAAGTCGAAGACAAAAAAGAAGGACAGCGGTCGCGTTGGCAACCGCGGCAGAGGCAGAGGCGCCCGCGGACGCGGCGGACCACGGGGACGCGGAAGGGGCCGTGCCACGGGCAGGCGTTAATTTTTGTAACTGGTACACTTAATAAAACACAAATATTCGATAAATATAGAATACAAATAAATTCTTTGGATAAAGTAAAATCTCGACGAATTCGATGGCTTCTGATATTAAGACAGTTACTAACTTATTTTGCGATATATTTTAGGAACCAGGCCGGGAATCCTCACCCTTTGATGCTGGAGAATATACTTGTAACTCCAGAAACCCATTTCTTAGTGATTGTTTTCTTAGTAGGTGATGAGAAGTGTTTCGTTTTGGAGTGTTCTTGATGTTTGTAATTAAGCTCGATTCTTATTCCTTAAAATGTTTGCCCTATTAGCCAAAAACTTTAGGACATATACAAGACTGGAAATACTTTTGTATCTCCTGTTGCCTCTGTTAATGTTACATTTAGTTATTTTGCGATGCCACGGAGATAAGAACACTATCCAGTGTTCAGAGCGACGTAATGGATTGCTTGGAGGTAATACGAAACTGTATCCGCTGCAGTAAGTTCCTAAGAAAATCAATTATTTCAAAGACAATATAACCAGTCTTATTTTAAAGGAATTTCCTAGAAAGTTCCAATGATGTGGGTCTCGTTTGGAAACTTTTACTATACACGAATGCAGATTCAATGGCGGATAAACTTGTACCCGCATTAAGAAATTCCTTACAGCTGAGTGATGTGATTCGAGTTAAGAACGAGGCTAATATGGCTAAATATCTAATTAATGGCAACTATTTGGGCGGCATACTTTGGAAGGTCAAGGATATGGACACCGAAGTAACCATTCGGTTTCCCAGTATCCTGCGAACTAGGCCGGACAATCTTTGGCATACGGATAAAAGAATATCGGATCTTCCAGAGTCCTACTACTCCGATGAGGGATTCTTGCAAATAATAAATGCTATTACTGCATTTCTAAGTCAACCGGACTCTAACCAGGCTCATAAGAATTCTGACGTAACGATCGCATCACATCCATTTATTCTTGATGGAAAATATAAAAATTATTTAAATCGCGTACTTTTCGATCCAACTAAAAGGCGAGAGGAATATATTTTGGGCTTCTACCTTGGCGTCTTGTACATTTATCCTTTTATCCGATTGGTTATGGTGAGTTTTCTTGAAAAATGTGTAAATTGTATAATGAAATCCTTTTTTTTAGCATATGACCAGGGAAAAGACGAGACAGCAAGTTGATTTAATGAATATGGCAGGGTCAAATCGGTTCTTGCACTATTTATGCTGGTTTATATCCACTTTTGTTGTCTTATTCATTATTAATTTACTGACTATATTTTTACTTAAGGTAAGAATTTACTTGAAAATGCAGAGATTTTCAAAAAGGATTTATATTTATTAATTTAATATTAGTTTATTGAATTTGTTTATAAAGCAGCTATAAAATAGCTAAAACAGTTCTAGCTAGAACACCAGCACAGAATATGTATCGATATATCGAATAGTGGCGCCATCTGTTTAGCAATTTCCTGAACTAAAACAATCTTTGCATTAAATATTTATTTATTTAATTATTTTCTTTCTTTTCAGGCGGCTTTCTGTAAAAATGGAAGTGTCTTACAGTGCTCAAATTTCTGGGCTTTACTTTTTGTCTTTTTCATATGGTCATTGTGTGGCATTTGCTTTTGTTTCTTAGTTTATAGTTTAATTAATAATGTCATATTGGCTGCATTTGTGGCAGCTTTCTTCTGCATTCTAGGATTTCTGCTTTTTGCATTTTTTCACTCAATGTTTATAATTCTGGACTATATTCTCAGTATATTACTGCAGTATGCTTTCCTAGCAGTCCTAAGGCGTATACTTTATTTCGAATATTATGATAATACAGGACTGCAGTGGCATCATATGATTTCATTTAAAAATACTTCTCAGTCAGGCTTAACTAATGACGTTGGTTATATTCTCTCAATGATGGGCATAGTAGCCTTAATTAGTTTATTAATTGCCTTTTTCGCTGAATTGATTGTTCCGGGGAGGTATGGAATCTCAGTGTGCCGCCGCAAACGTCCTGTTGAGCAGCCGGAGAATGAAAATCCTTCTATGATTGTTGAGGCAAATAATTTGCGAAAATGGCAAAACAATAAGGCACATCTCAGAAATTTCAGCATGAATATGTACCAAGATCAGATAACAGTCCTATTGGGTCCCTCCGATTCGGGAAAATCGGCCATATTGCATTCGATTTCCCGCAGTATTCCCCTGGATTCCGGATGGGTGAGAATAGATAATGTGGATATCATGGGTAACCCCGAGGGAAGATCGTCCGTGGGGTTAGCACCCCAGCATAATGCCTTATTCCCTAATTTGACGGTAAGGCAGCATACTACCTTGTATACGTCCTTGCGGAGAAGAGGTTCGGGAAGAAAGTTAAGGAACCACTCAGCTGAGAGGTATTTAAGGGCCTTGGATCTCTGGGATGTTAGGGACGTGAAAAGCCGCAATTTATCTCAGGCGGACCAAAAGAAGCTAGCGGTGACCTGTGCCTTTTGTGGGGATAACCGCATTATTCTGCTCGACGAGCCCAGTGAGGGGCTGAATCCCTGCGAAAGGCGAATGCTCTGGGACATGTTGCAGACCGAGAAGCGATGTCGTGCCATTATAATGACCACTTACCATATCGATGAGGCCGATGCTCTGGCCGATCGGGTGGCCATTTTATGCGATGGCCAATTAAAATTCAGTGGATCAGCTGCGTTCTTAAAAAACACCTATGGAACGGGGTATCAATTGGTAAGCAACTGAAAATGTAAACTAAAAAAAGGAGGGAGAAGAATTGTTCCTTGTAATTTTAATTTTAATTCGATTTGTTCCTCGTTTTCAGGTCTGCTCTCAGGGCCTAAAATATCATGAAAAACTAATAACTTCATTAATTGAGAAATATGTTCCCAACACCAGTATCTGCTGTCATGAGTGCGAAACGTCATGCAATATTCCGCAGTCCAGTTGTTGCGGAATTGTGCCCCTGCTGAAGGCTCTGGAGAAATCAGTGCAATGTCAAAATATAGATACCATTCAGATCGGAACCATGCCCATAATAGAGAAGTACCTGAACGCCACTGCCTCTTGCTGCGAGAATGTAACTGAGTGCCCTGATGTCTGCAGGTTACCCGAAGAACCAGATGGAAGTTTATTAAATCGAAATAAACTGTGCTTTAATCAATGGCAAGGGATGACACTGAAAAAGTTCTATCACATAAAGAACAACCTCTTATTGTTTATTCTTCTACCCCTGTTACTCTCTATGGCCTTTGCCGGTTTACTTGCTTATTTTAATAATAAGTTACCCTTCAAGCCTAAGAACTTCAAGGAAGCCAGGAGAACTTGGATATCCCAAGAACCTTTAAAATTAGATTTAGATTCATATGGCAGGCCCTGCAGTTATGCTATATCTAAAAACAATGACACGGAACATCCTCTGATACCGTTGGTGAAATATAAATTTAAACGTTGTACGGCAGTTGAAGAAGAAGATCTGGAAAATGCGACCTACTTAAATGACAAGCATATCTTTGCACTTAGGATGAATAAATGCAACTATGAAATTTTGTATAGTCGAAAATGGCTGCATTCGGAGGCAGTTGCAGCCTCACTGATGGCATATCTGGCAAACAAGTAAGAGAAAATATACAAAAGATATATGTAAAAGTTAAGAATTTAAGTTTTCAGCCAGCTGCTGGATAAATATTGTTCTAGTTATGAAAAGATCACTGACATGCGCATGAAAAATATAGATTTTTACAATTATCCATATCCAGCATTGCAACATAACAAAATCGGTACAACATATAAGGCGAAATGTTTGGAAAGTGATGTCTTATTTGTATTGCTTTTATGTTTGAGTATTTTTACAGGATTTTTTCTTGCATATATAATAAGAGAACGTGTACTTAATTTTAAGCTACTGCAAAAAGTCGAGGGCATTAATATGGCCACTTTCTGGTTATCCCACTTGCTCTGGGACTGGCTGTGGCTTACATTGTTTTCTGTACTTTTGGTTTGTCTAATGAGTTTAGTACTTTGGAAAGGTTTTAGTGATGAAATAGGTAAACATACTAATAGTTTTTAAATATATTATATATTGTTTACTTTAGTTGCCTACATAATTGCTTTGATGTTTTTTAATCTGGCTCAGCTGCCCTTTTTATATCTTTTGATGCAACTCTGCAGATGCACAATTTTTGGATGGATTACACCCATACTTCTATTTGTTCTTTTGAGTAATTTTATAGAGTTTTTATTTAATGTAAACCTATTAATTTTATTTTTTAGTCATACCATTTCAGCTCGGTGCTCCGGATTTTCCCTTTGGCATACTATATTTAATACCCATTTATACAGCCATTGCAATGATGCATAGAATATGCGGTAAGATATCAAATAAAAATTATTCTAATTAAAAGTAGCTTTGAAAGTGTAACGTTCATACCCAAAAAAAATGGTTGAAAGCCCATTTTGCACCCTTGTAAGCCGTGAAAGAAGGGGTAAGAAATAAAGGGAAATTTATAGATACATTTCCACGCCTAGCTAGATTGGTAAATGTAATTATTAATAACATTTAAAAACCATTTTTATTTAGAGAAACATCCAAAGTGGAGTATATTTTGGGCGGCATTACCATATCTCGGGGTACTTATCGGTTTGGCTTTGCTTTACTTTACATTACTTTTACTTTATGAAAAGGGATGTCCTGGCAGAAAAAGGTATTTTGTATTATATTTGTATTTAATCAATGTTAAAAAGAACTGTTTTTAATAGATCTAATGCAGGTCAAGAAAGAGTGACGCAGAGTGAAAGGCGAAACAATATTTTACTCCTGGATAATGTAAGAGCAAATGATATGGAAAGGCCCGTTAAAGATGTTACTTTCGGACTGAGACCGTAAGTATTTTTCTGTTTTATATTTTAAATTAAAAAAATATATCTTTTTAAATTATTTTGCAGCATGGATATTCTGGGCTTGATTGGTGAAAGATCTGGCAAGACCACACTTAATAAACTAATAATATCCCAACAGACGTTATCCAAGGGTCACGTTTTTGTCCATGGCATTGATGTTCATAACAAGACAAGCCGATACCGGGCCTTCCAATTCATGGGTTATTGTCCCGAAAATAATTATTTTGAGCCAAAGTTTACGGGTCGTGAGAATCTAAAAATATTCAGCCTCATTCGGGGGATAAAATCCAGACAAGTTCGCGATGTATCCGAGGATCTGTCGGATAAGCTCAATTTTAGACGACATCTAGATAAGAGGGCACGAATGTATACAATCAGCGACAAGCGTAAGTTGAGCACCGCAATAGCCGTTTTAGGCTCGCCTCCTTTGATTATATTGGATCAACCCACGACTGGATTGGAGACAGCTCATCGTTCATATGTTTTGGATGTTCTGAAAGACGTCAATCAGTGCGGCAGTGCGATTTTATTATCATCCAACAATATGGGCGACTTTCAAACCCTTTGCAATCGATTGGCTTTGATGAACCGAGGACAGCTTTACGCCATTGGTCCTGTGGCAAGCTATAGAAATCAATTAAGTCGTGGCCTAATCCTAATGGCCAAGGCCAGACCCTATGCCGTAATTAAGCAAGTATTTTGTTTATTAAATTCTATTTGTTGTCAGTTGATACATTTTTCCAACAGTCCTCCAATAAACATGGAAGATATTGTAGACAAAATTACACGGTTTCTGTTGGCCAACTTTGGAGATGTTTATTTATTGTAAGTATCTTTTTTTGCTTCTATTTAAGATATAATATTTATTTATATATTTCTTCAGAGAAGATATTCAAGGTGACATGCTTTTTTATATAAACAATTCATCAATTCCACTGGCCAAAGCCTTTAGGATCATAGAGAAAAATCGTCACGAGCTATACATTTCGGACTTTTATTTAAAACACGAAGATATTGAGCTGTCCTTTGTAACCCAAAACTTTAGAATAGTCCACTAAATGCAGTGCAGCGTCTTTAATTAGTTGGCTTTATATTTTGTCGTTAAAAATTAATGGCTGGAGGATACAGTTTTAACTATGCAGCATGTTAAGCCGCACTGTAAGCGGTTAAATAATGATGCTGCGGCATATGAAACAAAGCCGGAATCGTTATTTAGTATCTGTATTTCGCCATGTGAAAGTTTGTATCGCCTCCTTGTCTTTTTTTTTGTACTGCGCAGAGCCACAGAGGTCCTTAGACTAAATGAGGTAAGCGAAAACAGGTTCAGCGCGAGTGTTCATTGATGAGCAAAACATGTTTCGCCAGAAGGAACCATCAATATCAATCGAAAACGCATGCCGCGGCCAGATCAAAATAAATTATAAAACAAAAAGGGCCGCGCTCCGTTTACGGTTTAGCCATAAAATGAATCGCAAAATTAACAAGATACGAATCTCTTAAGATAGGAGAAATAAAATCCACTGGGTACAACCAAATTAATTTTGACATAATGTCAGACAAACAAATGTTTGCACTTAAGCCGGGGCTCTGCCTTTGTTAAGTATCCTTCTGCAGAGTCCCACTTGAAGGGGAATGCGTTATAATATTTGTCTAGACATAAATACAAACATGGGACTCCAATATGGGGGTGTTCAAGGGGCGTACTTTAAAAAATACAAAAACTATATGATGGCCTTTTTTTATATTTCTAGCAATACAATATAGTTATGTATTTGGGACAGTCTCTGGAAAAAACTGTAAAAGAATGTAATACCTTTTTAGAAAGCCGACGATTTGATGTAAATTAAATGAATTATTTAAGGGAAAACATTTTAATATATATATTTATGGATATCTTTTCAATATATAAATTCGCCTCAATTTCTGGAGAATCTAAATAACACTTTAAAATTATTTTTCAAATAAACTCTTCCTAGGTAACATTTTTCAGTAATATTGCAATTACGAAAATATTTTGAAATGTATCGCAAATCGTGTTAAAAAAGTTTACAGCGTAAGGAATTTTAAAATATTTAAGCTCCTGAAATATTTAATATATTTTAGCACAATTTCGGACGTTATTTTATTGGATTTAAAATCTCTAAACCTCTCTAAAAGGTTTAAGATTTAAATTTATTTAAGCTGTAATAAATGTGTCCAAGTTTTTTATATTTCTCTAACTAAATCCATAAGAAAAATCGTTTTTAAAAAATTGAAAAATATGTGTTCAAATCAATTTAACACAAAACTGTAAACCGGAACAGTCTTTTTTAAATCGACTTAATTTTAATGATTTTCTTACAGCTTGCAAACGTACTACTTCCCTTATTTTCCACCCATTTCCACATGCTGACGGTGTTATTTTAGGTGGGTGACAGAGCTCTCTCAAAGGATAATTCGCTATATATCCAGGGCGCACAGAATCGATACCGATACCAATTCGGCATGAGTCTTTGCTGGCGGCACACGAGCGACTGACTGGGCGACTGAGGAGAATCGAAACCGGCTTTATTAAGGTAAACAAGGACCAACGCTCGCTGTTTATGTTTGTCTTTGCATCACTGTCAGTGCAGTGAGTACTGACTTTGACACGTTTTCTGACTTAATTTTAGTTTATTGCTTTTTATGTGTGCCCGGGACCGCTGGACTGTGGGATTGCTGGGAGTCGCTGCCTGGCTTGCGGACTGTGTGCACTGCGTATCTAGGAGGACGAGAGAGCGAGGACGTCAACCCAGTGACACGTGTTGCGGATGAGGAGGACCATCCGCTGAAATGCGCAGCGTCTAAATGCTGTATAACTTTTGTCCTCTTCGGGTTGACTTTTCCGGGTGGCCGTTTTTCGGCCGGGATCTTCGATGTTCGACGTAACATTGGGCCAGAATCCGGAGCATTCACAGGGATGTTCGGTGGTGCTAACTCCCCCTTCGGGTCGGCTTGTTTACCATTCTCACGCATGTGACTTCCAAATGACGGATTGAAGTAGGCAAATATTTGCGGACGAGCGCTGGTTCCCGGTGCCCTTATTAGATAACGATGATTACAGTCAAACGGCGCACGCGTCCGCCGGTCCTTGCTTCGACTATTGCCCATTGCCGGTGCGATAATGTTAATTATTTCAGTAATATATTCATGGATTTGTTTTTAACTCGAACAGAGACATTTCAAAGCAGCACGTGGCGCGTTTCAACATTGCGATAAGGTGGAATCCAAATAAAAACGATACAAACTTGATATCTTTACTGGAGTAAAGTTTGCTTTGGTGTTTAGCCAAACCCTTGGGGATCGTGATGGCTCAATAAGGAAGCTTTAATTAAAGGCATTAAGTGGGTAAACTGGACGAAGATTAATTTTAAATTAATTTGGAAATAAACTCCCTTTTATAAGCTTGATGGATAGGAATCATTTCGTGTGAAATTGAATATATAAAGTATATATAACTAACTTATTTTTAATAAGAATTTAATAATTAAGTCTTACATTCCGAGCTCATTTTCATTATGAAACTTATAAGCATTCAACTAATATTTACTACAAGTAAACCCAAGTAATGCCTCCATAATTAATTACCTTTTAATAATTCAGTGTTCATTTTTAGCATTTTATAAATAGAAGCTCAACTTTTTTGCACAGCAAATGTACAAGCCTAATGTGCACATGTAAATACGAGGGCAAATACGAGTACAAAGCGGCCAAGGACTCTCCAGAGCCTGTGGCAACGGACAGGTTTCATTAAATTAATTAGCATCTCTTTCGCTCGCAAATACTGCCAGCTGCACGGCAGCTCACTCTTCGGAGCTTTGAATACGGAATACGGGAATATGCCACACGGGAGTCGGGACCGGAGCCGGGAGCTCCGAAAGCCACTTGATTTCACGGCGCTCTCAGACGGAAAATTATGTTTTCAGTTAAAACTCAAGACTTATGTAAACACTTGTCCAAGCTACGGGTTGTACGCTATTTCAACTTAATGAATATTTGTGCCCATGACTGCTGCTGGCAAATAAAAACATCTACTGCTAATATTTTGTTACAGAAAATATAGTTTATTTGATGTATATGAAAATATATATTTCAATCATAAAATAAATAAATTAATTAAAATTGAAAAGTTCATTAAACAACTGATTACACAGGAACACAAAATTAAACTTTGTGAAATTTCCACGAACCATTTCAAGTTTTCCATGATATTTGGGTGCTCCTGAGTAAAAGTCCCATACAAAATTATTCTCCATCACCTACAGGTTTCGCGGTATACCTAAGAATACAAAAAACCTATGTTTGCCGACATTTTGAATTACGTGGCCTATATAATTGGACTTACCTTTATTATTTTTGGTAGGACCTACTCTCAATACATCACGGCACTACTAAAAAATAGTCCCAATCGTGGACCATTGTCCATGTCTTTGGAATTCGACGCCAAAGTTGAAACTCCCAAAATTTTCAACATTTCTGTAATGAAAAAACAATTCTGAGAATTAAATCTTCTATGGGACTAATTTTAAATTTTCATTGAATCTATTGTTCATTGTATTCTTTAATTTCGGTTTAAAGCGTTTTCCTGAGGACATTTTATTGGATTTATTAAACGAATAAAACCGATTTTTTGGTTTTATTATCTACTACTATTTGCTGTCAAATTTCAAATAAGTCAAGGCAACCTATAAAATAGTAGTAGATTTGTTTCTTTTTATATATAATATACATTTTTTTTTTTGTCTAAACTTAAATATGTAAGGATTATCGCTGGCTACTAAGCTGTCTTAAAAATGTTATGTTCGGAATACATTTTTATTTAATATAAAACTAAATTTATATTATATATAAAAAGAAACATATCTACTACTATTTTATAGGTTGCCTTGACTTATTTAAAATTTGACAGCAAATAGGAGTAGATAATAAAACCAAAAAAGCTGTTTTATTCGTTTAATAAATCCAATAAAATGTCCTCATGAAAACGCTTTAAACCGAAATTAAAGAATACAATGAACAATAGATTCAATGAATATTTAAAATTAGTTCCATATAAGATTAAATTCTCAGAATTATTTTTTCATCACAGAAATGCTGAAAATTTTGGGAGTTTCAATTTTGGCGTCGAATTCCAAAGACATGGGCAATGGTCCACGATTGGGACTATTTTTTAGTAGTGCCGTGATGTATTGAGAGTAGGTCCTACCAAAAATAATAAAGGTAAGTCCAATTCTATAGGCCACGTAATTCAAAATGTCGGCAAACATAGGTTTTTTGTATTCTTAGGTATATCGCGAAACCTGTAGGTGATGGAGAATAATTTTGTATGGGACTTTTACTCAGGAGCACCCAAATATCATGGAAAACTTGAAATGGTTCGTGGAAATTTTTGGCTGTGTACCTGTGTTATTTGTAATTATTTATTCTTAAAAACACTTTTGAAAATCAGCCAAAAAGTGTTAATGAGACCATCAAATGCAGCTTTCCGTTTCATGAAATATAATCATAATATATTATAATTAAATGCATTTTCAAAATGGCTTCCATTCGAAACATTTGTTTCATTGTTAAAGAAATATTGCAGCCAGGATTCTGTAACTTTTCAGATACCAGAGGTGCCTTTTTAACGACACAACCAGAGGATGTTTAATGTGTGTTTACAAAAGGCAACCCATTAGAGGGGAAGCGTCTATTGTAAGGAACTGCCACTGGGCAGATACTTATCTGGCCATATATTAAGACAGAGCTGGCTGAGGCTGAGGCATCCATTTGGTACGCATCCGGTTGGTGACACTTACCCTTCGTTACCGTAATTAATTTCACTTTCAAGCCCCCGGTTCGCTTGTAAATATCTCGCCCAGACGAATTGCGACACGTGTATCAGAGGCCGGATTTAAACACGCAGCGATCCGATCCCACATCCTTGCTCTCAACCTCGTCCCACCCTTGGAAATCTTCCGGGCGGTTCCATACTGCGAGTTAATTCGTTCGATGTGGTTATGAATTAGGCACAACTCATCATTTGCAGCATCGGCGGACGTACGACGGGGGTGGCCGAAC